CAGGCTTCCCACTGAGCAGAGTGCCCGATGCAGAACTCAATCCCAGGACTCGATCCCAGGACTCTGGGATCATGACCTGAGCTGAAGGCAGACGCTTAAGTACTGAGCCACCCAGGCGTCCCCCCCACCTTTTTTTAAAGTAGGCTCCACGCCCAGCATGGAGCCCAACACAGGGCTTGAACCCACAACCCTGAGATCAAGACCTGAGCTGAGATCAAGAGTTGGCCACTTAACCGACCGAGCCACCCAGGCACCCCTAAAAATAAAATCTTTAAAAAAATTTTTTCAAAATTTCAAAAAACTCAAAAATGTTCAAAGTGTTATTCAGTGAACATAGTCATCATCTAGATGCAAAAATGACATCTTTAAAAGTCCTGTTTGATGCTGATGTGTAGCTAATTTTTTTCCCACAGGGTAAGAAAAATTAGCGGAAAAAAAAGATTAGCAACTTGATTTATTTTAGATTATTTTACTTTGGTCCAATCAAAGACTTAGTCATTAATTCCTGGTGTGGTGAAATTGTGTGTTTCACCAGCTGCCTTGGATGACTTCATCCTCCACGGATGACTTTCCAGCACTAAGAAAAATTGAAAAGTCGGCTAACTTCTCCCCGGAACATGAGATTCTTTGGGGCCTAAAAGCACAATAGCCCTGTATTAGGCAGTCTCTCAATTAATGATGCTCATTCCACTTGGCAAACTGAAAAAACAATACAGGCTGGATATTTTTCATAATAAAATTTGGCTGGGGGAATGTCAATGTTTTGTCGTTTCAATAGGTTTTGGTCAAATACCCATAAGTGCAGAAAATGTTCCTGATTACAATTCTTTTGACTTAGTAAAAATTTCCAGTCTACATTTTGGTCCTTTCTTTCAGCCAGTGTGGTCAGGTTAACTAAGGCACAAAAAGCTATCATATTAGGTGATTATCCCAGCAGGGTGCCCTATCTGAGCTGTTGCTGGGTGTCCTACCCACAACTACTAAACTGGGTGACTTTACCAATATTTACCTCCACACATTCAATGAGAGGACAAGGAGTCCAACTTTGACTCCAGCTTCTATAATACAGTACTTCTGGGCTTCAGTTTATCTTAAAATGGGGGAAGTGGTTCCTTAGGTGTTCTTCAAGGTCTGGGTTAGCTGGCCTTTGGTTATGTTCTAAACACAAATTGATTGATATCTTACTTAGATGAGGCTAGAGAGCAATGTTTCTCTTTCACTACATATTAGAAACAACTGGGAAGTTTGTAAACCGACTTGATGCCCAGGCATCTTCCCAGACCAATTAAGTCAGAATGTCTGGGAAGGCATTGTGTTGGTTAATTTAATAAAAACACAAAATGAGAAATAAAATTGGAGAAGCCAAGTGGGTAAACACATTATTCCCTGTATATTATATGTGGCGTTAGTTGTTCACATAAACTCCAAAAACATCAATATTTCAGATGTTTGTTCACAACCCACTGCAAGGTGGGAACCTGATTTCCTCATGGTGAGTGCAAAGGATCATAATCAGTGAAGCAGAGTATGAGCCTATTCTAGATCCATTATTAAAGCTTCTCTCTTAACAATGAATTCCTAACTTAGTGCTGTTTGGATGTACTATTTGCACTGAGCACACTGGTGTGGAAACTCGAACCACTTCTCTCAAATGGACAGGGCATGTGAGTTTAGAAGACAGCGGCCCATCTCCAACCAAGGTTCAAAACTTCTGACCATGAAAGGCAAACAGGTGGCGCTACCAGACAATCTGGGCCCCTCAACTGTGAAGCCCAGAGGATTGTGGGACTTGTAGTTTTTCATGCATCATTTCAGCCTCGTGAACTACATTTCCCAAAATGCAAAAGCAGCCAGTCAGTTGCACCGTCAGTCGTAAAGTGTCGTTTAAGCTGTGAAAGGTGAGTGTGCTCTGTGTGGGCTGCGGGTTTCTAGAAGTTGTGGATTTGCTGTAACAGATAGCGTATTAACTCTTTACCGTTTGGTGGTACCTGGCAGAGAGCTGCTGTTCCAATAGAGCGTGTTTTCAGCGGGGTGTCCCTAGCCCTTTTGTCTCAGGAGTCCAGTCTATATTTCTTTAGCGGTTCAGGTGTTGCTGTGAAAGGTCTAGAGACATCGGGGTCCTAACCTAGATCTGGAAAGCCAAGCATAAGATAATGTTTACATAAGGGGTGCGTATCACTAGAGAATTTCTGCATTATGTTAAGTAATATGGCAAAGCCTTGTTTTTACAGCTAGAAAGCTGGGGTAGAATGTTGTGTCAGGCCTCACTCTTCTGCTGTATCCAAGTAGCAGTGTTTGCGATTGAGGGTAAACTAAAAGAATATGGGAAAGATAGAATAAAAGATGTGCATGTGCTTAGTTACATTAATAAATAAAAAGCCATAAAAATCATAAGTCTGAAATGTCTGAGCAACGACTTCATCAACACCTGGCATACCAGAATTCAAATGTGCTCTTCAGTTTATGAAGAAATACTTCTGATTTATAAAATGGGAAGTAGGTTTATGGAACACACGGTCTCCCAAGGGATGGTAGTAACTAAAATTATAAAGGCAGTCCTCCAATGGAGACGTCAATAGATGTAGTCATAGAATAACAATGAGCTATTAAGGGATTTAAAAGATACTGGGAGTAGACCATTAATATTTTGAATTTTATAAGAAATTTTTGATTTTTTGATTTATTTTTTAAAAATATTTTTTAAATTTATTTGACAGAGAGAGACACAGTGAGAGAGGGAACACAAGCAGGGGGAGTGGGAGAGGGAGAAGCAGGCTTCCCG